CCAGTCACAACATTGTATCTAGGGTGCAGTTTTAAGGTCCTTGGAAACACACAGTACATTGCAACTTCATAAAAGGCACTGCCCTCACCTACCCCCTCCCATGCAAACTATCTGGTATGTGAATTCCTTCTGTGTCAAGCTCACCGATCCTAATCCTAACCCTAACCCACAACCTGATTCCTAAATTCCCATTTCGGGGTATTTCAAATCCAGCATAAGCCTAAGGTGAAACATCAGGCTGCTTCTAACTAGTAAACCCACATCCCAATTCCCAGGTAGAGAAATTCCAAGACTATCACACCGGAATCCTACCAATAACAGCAACACTAATCCTGAACTTCGAGGAAGGACCTATATTCTAACATCATTCCTATCACTGAACATCAAGTTAACACCAACACTCATTCTCAAACACACACTACACTACACAGCGAGTGAAATGGGGAGCCTATTTCATCCCATAAATCTAGCTGAAAACCTGCTCAGTGGCCCATCATTACACATTATATCTAGGCCTTAATGTTCAGGTTCTTGGAAACTCATATAACATTCCACCTTCATAAAAGGCAATGCCCTCATGAGTCTGCTCACATGCAAACTATCTGGCATGTGAATTGCCTCCAAACCATGCTCAGCAATCCTAACCCTAGCCCTATCCCACAACCTGATTCCAAAATACCCACAGCGCGGAACTCGAAATCTAGCACTTTGGCTAAGCCAAGGCGAAATCTCATGTTGATACCATGGCGGAATCCCAGAGCCGAATTCCCAGGTAGAGAAATTCCAGGGATATCCTTCTCTGGAATACTAACACTAACATAATCTCTATCCCTGACTCTCGAGGAAGGACGTATATTCCTACATCATTCGTAACACTGAAGGTCAAATTAACAGCCACCCTTAACCTGAAACACACACTGCACTACAAAGTCATGTTGATACCATGGCGGAATCCCAGAGCCGAATTCCCAGGTAGAGAAATTCCAGGGATATCCTTCTCTGGAATACTAACACTAACATAATCTCTATCCCTGACTCTCGAGGAAGGACGTATATTCCTACATCATTCGTAACACTGAAGGTCAAATTAACAGCCACCCTTAACCTGAAACACACACTGCACTACAAAGGGAGTCAAAAAGGGGGAGACCATTCAATCGGCCAAATCTAGCGAAAATGATTATCGATGGCTAATCCCTACCTATTATATCAAGGCAGAAATTTTCATGTGCGTGGAAAACCACAGTCCATCCTACCTTCCAGAAATCAGTGCCCTCAACCTACTTCACACATCCAAATTGTCTGGTATGTGAATTCCTTCCATATTATGCTCACCAGTGCTAACCCTAAACCTAAACCACAACCAGATTCCTAAGTTTCCATAGGGCAGTACTTGAAATCCTCCACAGTCAAGAAGCCTAAGGTGAAATCTCATGCCGATAATAATTAGGAAACCCAAACCCCAAAAGGCAGGTAGAGAAACTCCAAGGCGATCACTCGCTGGAATCCTACTCCTAACCCTGATTCTAAGCCTGACCCTGGGGAGGGACTTCTATTCAATGTACATCATTTCTAACACAGAAGGTCAAATGAACAAGAGCCGTCTCCCTCAAAGGTACACTACACTACACCGGGATTGAAATGGGGAGCCTGTTCAGTTCCCTAAATCTAGCTGTAAACCTACTCTCTGGCCAGTCACTATGCAATATATCTAGACCTCAATGTTCAGGTCCTTGGAAACACACATTTCATAATAACTTAAAAAAAGGTACTGCCCTCACCTTTCCTGTCACATGCAAACTATCTGGAATGTGAATTCCCTCCGTATCATGCTTACCCATCCTAACCCTAACCCTAACCCACAACCTGATTCCTAAAGACCCACAGGGCACAACTTGAAATAAAGCACTGTGGTAAAGCCAAGGCGAATTCTCATCCTTATACTACCCAGTATCGCACAGCCCCATACCCAGGTACAGAAATTCCAAGGCTATCACTCACTGGAATCCTAACACTAACCCTAACCCTTTTCCCTGACCCTCGAGGAGAGACTTCTATTCCTACATCATTCCCAACACTGAAGGTGAAATGGATATGAGCTCCACCTCTCAACTCTAAAATGCAATACACAGGGAGTGAAATGGGGTGTGAGTTCCATCCTGTAAATCTAGCTCTAACCTTACTCTCTGTCCAGTCACTACCCATTATACCTAGGGTGCAATGTTCAGGTCTTTGGAAACAAACAGTACATCCCAACTTCATAAAAGGTGCTGCCCTCACCCTCCCACTCCCACGCAAACTATCTGGTATGTGAATTCCTTCTGCATCATTCTCACCAATCCTAAACCTAACACTAATCCACTAAGATTCCCAAGTTACCGTAGGGCAGGACTTGAAATACAGCACTGTGTCTAAGAATAAGGTGAAATCTCATGCTGCTACTGACAAGGAAACCCACAGCCCAATACCCAGGTAGAGAAATTCCAAGCCTATCACTCAGTGGAATCCTAGCCCTATCACCACCACTAACCCTGAACCTCAATGAGGGACATATATTGTAACATCATCCTAACACTGAAAGTCAAACTAATACCAATGCTCACTCTGAAACACACACTACACTACACAGGGAGTGAAATGGGGAACCCATTCGTCCCCAAAATCTAGCTGTAAACCTACTCACTTGCCAGTCACTACCCATATATCTAGGCCTCAATGTCAGGACCTGGGAATAACACATTATTACCCACCTTCAGAAAAGACACTGCCCTCACCTTCCCACTCATATGCAAACTATCTAGAATGTGAATTCCCTCCTATTATATCCACACAACAATATTCAAGTGTGTGAAAAACGACAGTCAATCCTATCTAGAAAAAAGTCACTGCCCTCAACTTAGCTCTCACACCCAGTCTGCTATGTGAATTACATCTGTATCATCCTCACCAGTCCTAACTCTATCCATAATGCACAGCCGAATTCCTATGTACCCATATGACATTACAAGAAATCATCCATTGTGGCTAATTTTAAGGTGAAATCTCATGTTGATACTAACTAGGAAAGTCAAATCCCAGGTACAAGGTAAAAAATTCCAAACTATCACTCACTGGAATCCTAATACTACACCTAAGCCTAAGCCTAAGCTCAATCCAACACCAACCAGAACGCAAACCCGGCAAGCCTAAGCCATTGCGGGAACCCTAACCATAAACCGCGTAACCCTATCCCTAAATTTAATAGCAACCCCAACAAAAACACTAACTCTAAATCTAACCCAACCCGAACCCTAAATCCAACCCTATACAAAACCCTAAACCTAACTCAATCCTAACGACAAAAATAACAATAAACCAGAATATTAATCCTAATCCCTAATCCTTAAACGAACCCCCCAAAACCTAACCCTAAACACAAACTCAACCCCAAAACCATCACTAACTGAAACGAGTCCCCAACTGAAAACTATCTCCTAAACCTTCTCTCAACATCAACCTCACCCTTGCCCTAAACCAAACCCTGTAACACTCACACTCACCCTCACACTCGAACTCACACCCTCAACATCACACTCACCATAAAACCAACCACCTAACCATAACCCTACACTAATCCTCACCCAACCCTAAAGATAGACCCATCCACAATGCCAACCATAACCCTAACCCCTACCTCTAATCCTAAACTTAACCGACACAAATCCTAACCCAAAACATAGGCTTAGCCCATAACCCTCACACTGACCGTAACACTCTAACCCTCACCCTCACCCTAATGCTAAACCCTAACCCTAACACCAACACCAAACTCAACCCCAACCCTAACGCTAACCCAACCCTAAGCCTAACCATAACCCTGACCCTACCCCTAACCCTAACCCTAAACCTAACCCTAACCCTATCTTGACTACACAGTACTGCTTATGGAGTGGTTACCAATGCATTCCACATGCCATCACTCTGCCAGCTATGTAGCAGTTCTCTAAGGACTGGTCAGCCAATAGTACTCTTGCCCTGGTCCTGCATGTCACCTGGTGGATGATTTTAGGATTGCTATGTGTGGAAACATGCTTGCTTCATGGAACAGTCACACAGAGGTCTGGCGAGTATTGCTAAGCATGCAACAAGACTGCCCTCAGTGCAGCTTATAGGCAGGGCTCCCTTGAGGACCATTTGGACACACAGTCAGCACATCCTTGCCCCTGCCTGCTCCTACTGAACAAAGGAGCAGTATCTAGGACCTGAATAACAAGGCCCTTCCCCTAGAAATCAAATACCAGAAGGTTTGAGCCACCATTAAAGACACTGAGAGCCTATATTCAATGTTAGCTGCCTCCAGAAGAATGACTAGGACCCCTTAACAGCTGGGACAGTCTTCACTCATACCTTTCTGCATGTCACAAACTTTGGGAACTAGTTAGCTGCACAGTGACTCAGTCCTCATGGCTGTCTCCTAAAGGGATATGATTATGGAATATTTTGCAAAGCAGTGAGACTGTCCTCAAGCTGGCAGAGAAGCAGCAGGCTTGAGAAGGCCAGTAAGACACACCACAAGCCCATGCAGACCAGAATTTAGTACAGTGCAACATTTCAGACTGTTTAGGCATTCAGGGATCAGCAACTCAGTGAAGCAAGCATACAGAGGACTGGAGAGTCATTGTACAATATGCAGTGAGACTGAACTTGCTGCAGCCATGAGCCAATGCCACTATGTGAATTGGTGAGCCATGCATTGAGAATACTCTCTCCCCAGGATCAAACAGGTGAAACATTGGGTTCTATGTAGAATTACAGACATATCAGAATCGTAACGAATTGAAGGAGGAAAAACAAGAGGAGTTCTGAGTCACAGTGTGAAACTGGGAGGCCCCTGGACTTCAAGCACTGGACAGTTGAGGTACATTTTGCAACTAAGTGAAATGCACTCATACAACTGGCACGCACTGAAATAATGAGTACCTTTTCGATGCATTGTGAGAACCACCTGGAGGCATCGTCCTTCCAGTGAAACTTTGAGCTGCAGACTAGCACAAAGTCATTTCGCTCAAATCCCAGGCTACATGAAGCCGAATCTTTAGGAACAAATATACATGCAGAGTGTTCATGCTCTCCACAGCATGCATACAGCTGTCTGAAAAGGAATGGTTATCGAGTCAGTGAGAAAACCTCACTTGGGAGAGAACCCTGTTGAAAAATGAGCAGGGCATTGCCATGCATTGATACCACCAGAAACAGAGTTTGCAAAAGGCCCCCAAGTGAACAATGGATTGCCAAGCTCTCAGCCTGCATTCTGACTATTCACCTCCTGCAAAAGGCCTAGCATGGATTAGCAGCACAGAGAGCCCTCAGTCATAGTATTTTACATGAAGCCCAACATGCTCCATTTAGCCAGCTGAAGGATGATCACCAGATCATTAAGGGTTGCCTGCAGCAGACCATTTAGGTTCAATCGGTCTCTCAGTGTGTTTAAACTAATCCAAACCTGATGTCAACCATGCAAAAAGGAATGGATCACGAGTCAGTCAGCACGCCATCACTTCAGAGTAAAAGCTGTTTAGAAATGAGCGTGGCCTAGTCATGAAGTCAGCCCGAGTTGCCAAAGATAGCAGATAGTACAATCAAATACTGTGGAGAGAGATGCAGTGAGCCTGCATTCCAACGGCTTTGTCTCAGACAGACTACTGAGGCGCTTTCAGCAGCACAGAGATACCTCACTCCAACTGTGCGGCATTTGCCTGAACTTCAGTGCATCATTAGGCCCATGCTGAAACTGCCCTGCCTAGTTTGACTCCAGCGCACTGCTTATGGACTTTTCAGCAATGCAGTCCACATGTCCTCACACTACCAGCTATGCAGCAGTCCACTCAGACCTGGCCAGTCCACAGTGCTCTGGCCCTGGTCCTGCGAGCCACCTGTTGGACACTTTCAGCATCCTTAGGCATGCAAACATGCTTGCATCATGGTACAGTCAGGCATAGAGAGGTCTGGCGAGTAGCGGGAAGCACACAGCAAGTCTTTGCTTGGTGCAGCTTGTAGGCAGGGCTCCCATCAGAAACATTTGGCCACACAGTGAGCACACTCTTGTCGCTGCCTGCCCCTCGTGAGCAAAGGCTCGGAGTCAAGAACCTGAATAAGAAGGCCCTTCCCCCAGATATCCAATGGCAGAAGGTTTGAGCGACCAATGAAGGTGCAAGAGGCATGCATTCAAACTTTGCTGCCTCTTACAGAACAACTAGGTACCCTTCACAGCTGGAAGAGCCATCATGCATACCTTTCTGCATATCCCAAACTTTGGTTACTAGTCAGCTGCACAGGGAGCTACCCCTCACTTGCTGTCTACTCCAGGGATATGTTTATGGAATCTTTAGCTGTGCAGTGAGACTATGCTCAACCCAACAGGAAAGCAGCATGCTTCAGAAGGCCAGTGAGAGAGACCACAAGCTCACGCAGACCTGACTTTCATAGAGTGAAACATTTAGGACATTTTAGGCATTCAGGGAACACGCACACCGAGAAATGATCATACAGAGGTCTGGAGAGTCACTGGACAAGATGCAGTGAGCCAGAAGCTGCTCGCAGCCATGAGCCATGGCCACGACGTGAATGGATAAGCCATGCAGTGAGCCTGCCCTCCTCCTGGAATTAAACAGGTGAATGCCTTGTGTTCGACCTAGCATTGCAGACACGTTAGAGTAATAACGCGTTGAAAGTGGGAGACACGTTAGAGTCATAAGGCACTGAAAGCTGCTAGACACAGTGCGAGCTGACCAGGCCCCTGGACTTCAAGCACTCCACAGGTGAGGTACTGCTTTCAACTAACAGACCTGCACTCATATGGTGCTCATGCATTGAAAACTTTCCTACCTGTTCGTCACATGGTGAGAACCCCGTGGCGTCGTCCTCCCTGCACTGCAACGTGGAGGTGCAGACTGGCAGGAAGTGAGTTCACTGTCATCCCAGGCTCTGAACAGGAGACTGTTCAGGAACTGCTACTCACACAGAGTGCTCCTGCTCTCCAGAGCATGCATACAGCCACCTGAAAAGGAAGGGTTATGGAATCAGTGAGAAAACCTCCCATGGGAGAAATTCCCATTGAAAAATGAGCAGGGCATGGCCATGCATTCATATCACCAAAGACGCAACATTGCTCAAGGCCCCCAATGGAACAACGGATGGCCAAGCACTCAGCTTGCATTCCCACTAGCTGCCTCCCTCAAAGGCCTACCATGGATTGGCCACTCAGAGGGCCCTCACTTCTATCATTGTGCATGAAGCACAACTGGCTCCATCCAACCAGCCAAATAATGAGCACAAGATCATCCAGGCTTGCCTCTAGCAGGCCCTTTAGGTTCCCTGGGGCCCACAGTGTGCTCACACTCACCTCAGCCTGAGGCCAACCATCTGACAAGGAATGCTTCATGAGTCAGTCAGCCTGCCGTCACTTCAGCCTGCAACCTGTGGAGAAAGGAACAGGGCATAGCCCTGCAGTCAGCTTGAATTCCCAAAGATGGCAGACAGCACGCCCCAATACAGTGGAGAGCCATACAGTGAGCCTCCATTCCCATAGTTTTGACTCAGACAGACCACTGAGGCCCTTTCAATAGCCCACACAGAGCCCTCACTCCTACTGTGCGGCATTCACCTGATCTTCAGTGCATCTTTAGGCACATGCTGAAACCGCCCTGTCTAGCTTGCCTCAAGTGGAATGCTGATGGAGTGCTTAGCAATGCAGTCCACTTCTCCTCACACTGCCAGCTATGCAGCAGTCCTCTGAGGGCTGGCCAGCCCACAGTGCTTTGGCCCTGGTCCTGCACACCACCTGGTGGACGCTTTCAGGATCGGTAGTCACGGAAACATGCTTGCCTCATGGAAGAGATAGTCATACAGAGGCCTGGTAAATCACAGAAAGCACGCAGCAATTCTGTCCTTGGTGCAGCTTCTAGGTATGGAACTCACGAGGACCATTTGGCAACAAAGTAAGCACACCCTTGTCCCTGTTGGCACCTCAGAACAAAGCCGCAGGGCCTAGTACATGAATAAGAAGTTCCTTCCACTAGACATCCAATGGCAGAAGGTTCAAATGGCCAATCAAGGTGCAGTGAGCCTGCATTCAATCTTCGCTGCCTCCCACAGAATGACAAGGACTCCTTCACAGCTGGGAGAGCCATCACTCATACCTTTCTGCATGTCCCAAACTTTGGCGACTAGTCAGCTGCACAGGGAGCTGGCCCTCCCTTGCTCTGTCCTCCAGGGATATGCTTATGGAATATTTTTCCCTGCAGTGATACAGTCCTCAAGCCAACAGGAAAGCAGCGTGCCTGAGAAGGCCAGTCAGACACACCATGGTGTTCACACAGACCTGACTTTCGTACAGTGAAACATTTCAGACTGCTTTGGCATTCAGGGAACATGGATGTCACCAAATGATCATTCAGAGGTCTGCAGAGTCATTGCACAACAGGCAGAGAGACTGAAGATGCCTGGAGGATAGGTCAGGGCCACGCTGTGAATCGGGAAGCCATGCTTTGAGCCTGTCCTCCACCTGGAATCAAATAGGTGAAGCCTTGGTTTCAACCTAGCATTGCAGACACGTTAGCGTCATCACACATTGAAAGCTGGAGAACCTTTTGGAGCTCCTAGACACTGTGTGTACCGGCCAGGCCCCTGAACTTCAATCACTCCACAGGTGAGGTACAGTTTGCAACAAAGAGACCTGCACTCATACAGCGGGCATGCAGTGAAACCTTTCATACCTATTCGACGCATGATGAGAACACTGTGGCATCGTCCTGCTTGCAGTGCAACTTGGAGTTGCAGACTGGAGTGAAATGAGTTCATTCTCATCCCTGGTTCCACCCGGGAGATTGTGCAGGAATAGTTACTCATGCAGAGTGCTTCTGCTCTAAACAGCACGCAGACAACCACCTGAATAGGAAGGGTTATCGAATCAGTTAGAATTGGGAGAGAACTCTGCTGAAAAATGAGCAGCGCATGATCATGTATCAATACCACCAGCAACACAGCACGCTCAAGGCCCCCAGTGGAACAATGGATGGCCAAGCTGTGAGCCTTTATTCCCACTGGCTACCTCCCGCCAAAGGCCTAGCATGGATTGGCCACCCAGAGGGCTCTCACTCCTATCATTGTGCATGAAGCACAACTGGCTCCATCTAGCCAGCCAAATGATGAGCAGCACATCATCCAGGCTAGCCTCCCACAGGCGGTTCACTTCCCTGGGGCCCGCAGTGCGCTCACACTAACCGCAGCCTGAGGCCAACCATCTGACAAGGAATGCTTCATGAGTCAGCCAGCCTGCCGTCACTTCAAACTACAATCTGTGGAGAACGGAGCAGGGCCTAGCCATGCAGTCAGACCGAGTTGCCAAAGATAGCAGATAGTACACCCAAATAGAGTGGAGAGCCATGCAGGGAGTCTGCATTCCCAACATTTTGATTCAGACAGACCACTGAGTCCCTTTCAACAGCACAGAGATCCCTCACTCCAACTGTGCAGCATTCACCTGATCTTCAGCGCATCTTTAGCCCCATGCTGAAACTGCCCTGCCTAGGTAGATTCCAGAGGACTGCTTTTGGACTGCTTAGCAATGCAGTCCACATGTGCTCACACTGCCAGCTCTGCAGCACTCCTCTCAGGACTGGCAAGCCCACAGTGGTCTGGCCCTGGTCCTACGAGCCACCTGGAGGATGCTTTAAGGGTCCTTAGGCATGCAAACATGTTTGTGTCACAGTACAGTCAGTCATACAGAGGTCTGCTGAGTAGCGGTAAGCATGCAACGTCTTCCCTTGGTGCATCTTGTAGGCAGGGCTCCCATGAGAACCATTTGGCCACACAGTGAGCACACTCTCATCCCTGCCTGCCCCTCGTGAACAAAGGTACAGAGTCTAGGAATTGAATAAGAAGGCCCTTCCCCTAGACATCCAATGGCAGAAGGTTAGAGTGGCCAATGAAGGCACAGTTAGCCTGCATTCCAACTTCGCTGCCAACTAGAGAACAACTAGGACCCCTTCACAGCTGGGAGAGCCATCACTCATACCTTTCTGCATATCCCAAACTTTGGGTACTAGTCAGCTGCACAGGGAGCCAGCCCTTACTTGCTGTCTCATCCAGGGATATGCTTATGGAATATTTGGCCATGCAGTGAGACTCTCCTCAAACCGACAGGAAAGCAGCATGCTTGATAAGGCCAGTCAGACACACCATGAGCTCACGCAGACCTCACTTTCATGCAGTGGAACATTTTGAACTGTTTTGGCATTCAGAGAACCCGCACACTGTGAATCGATCATACAGAGGTCTGGAGAGTAATTGTACAACAGGCACTGAGCCTGAAGCTGACTGCAGCCATGAGCCAGGGCCACTCTGTGAATGGTTAAGCCATGCATTGAGCCTGTCCTCCTCCTGAAATCAAAAGATGAAGCCTTGGGTTTGGACCTAGCATTGCAGACACATTACAGTCATAACGCATTGAAAGCGGGAGAACCTTTAGGAGCTACTAGACACAGGGTGAGAAGGCCAGACACTTGGACTTCAATCACAACACAGGTGAGGTACTGTTTTCAACTAAGAGACCTGCACTCATATGGCGGTCATGCAGTGAAACCTTTCCTACCTGTTCAATGCATGGTGAGAACCCCGATTGTCATCCTCCTTGCAGGGCAACTTGGAGTTGCAGACTGGAGTGAAGTGAGTTCACTCTCATCCCAGGCTCCGACCAGGAGAATGTCTAGGAACCATTACTCACACACAGTGCCCCTGCTCTCCAGAGCAGGCATAGAGCCACCTGAAAAGAAAGAGTTATGGAATCAGTGAAAAAAACTCCCATGGGAGAAATTCCCGTTGAAAAATGAGCAGGGCTTGGCCATGCATTGACACCAACAGCAACGCAGCATGCTCAAGGCCCCAAATGGAACAATGGATGGCCAAGCACTCAGCCTTCATTCCCCCTAGCTCTCTCCCTCAAAGGCGTACCATGGATTGCCGCCCAGAGGGCCCTCACTCCTATCATTGTGCATGAAGAACAACCGGCTCCATCCAACCAGCCAAATGACAAGCACAAGATCATCAGGGCTTGCCATCCCCAGGCCCTTTAGGTTCCCTGGGGATCGCAGTGTGCTCACGCTAATCCCAGTCTGATGCCAAGCATCGGACAAGCAATGCTTCATGAATCAGTCAGCCTGCCGTCCCTTCAGATTACAACTGGTGTGGAAATAAGCAGGGCCTAGCCATGCAGTCCACCCAACTTGCCACAGACAGCAAATAGCACACCAAGATCCAGGAGAGAATCTTGGAGTGAGCCTGAATTCCCCCTCTTTTGACTCGCATAGAACACTGAGAACCTGTGAAGAGCACTGTCAGCCCTCACTGCTACTCTGCGGCATTTGTCTGATCTTCAATCCCTCTTTAGGTGTAGGATGAACCACCCCTGCCTGGTTTGACTTAAGTAGACTGCCCCAGGTGTGCGTAGCAATGCCGTCCAAATATCATCACTCTGCCAGCTATGCATCAAGCAGTCTTCTGAGGACATGTAGGCCAACTGTGCTCTTGTCCTCATCCTAGGAACCACTTTGTGGATATTTTAAGGATCGTTGGCATGGAAATACACTGGCCTCAAGGACAAGTCACACAGAGGTCGGTGGAGTAGTGGTCAGCACGCAGCAAGTCTATCCCCTCCATGAAGCTGCTGATCACAGCTACCATGAAGACTACTGGAATACACAGTCAACGCACGCTGGTCCCTACTTGGCCTGGGTGAACACAGGGCCAGGGCCTTGGAAGTAAATAAGAAGGCCCTTGGCCTAGACATCAAATGGTAGAAGGTTGGAGTGGCCAATCAAGCCACAGTGAGCCTGCATTCCATCTTACCTGCCTCGCACAGAATGATTAGAACCCCTTAACAGCTGCGAGAGTCGTGACTCATACATCTCTGCATGTCATAAACTTTGGCACTACTTAGCTGGCCAGTGAGACAGCCCTCACGGCTGTCGGCTCCGTGGATATGATGAGGGTCTATTGCCCACAGCAGGGAGACTCTCCCCAAGCCAGAGGAAAAGCATCCTGTTTGAGAAGGCCAGTCAGACACAGCCCAAGTTCACACAGGTGTGACTTTCATACAGAAAATTTTCAGACTGGTTCTGCATTCAGGGCACACCCACTCCCAGAAATAATATTGCAGAGTTCCGGAGAGTCATGGAATAATACGCACTGAGCCGCAACTTGCCACAGCCATGAGCCAGGGCCATGAAGTTAATTGGAGAGCCTTGCACTGAAGCTCCCCTCCTCCCCAAATCAATGTTTTGAAGCATTGGGTTCTACCTAGAATGGCCGACATGTCCCACTCCCAACGAACTGCAGGCAGGTGCAACTTGAGGAGCTCCTCGTCACAGTGTGAGACTGCCAGGCCCCTGGATTTTGAGCACAGGACTGTTGAGATACACTTTGCCACTACGAAACCTGCACTCACACGGCTGGCATCCAGTGTAACATTCTGTTCCTCTTGGATGCATTGTGCGAACCACCTGGCATCGTGGTCCTTGCAGAGCGATGATAAGCTGCTGGCTAGCATGATGTGAGGTCACTGTCAGGCCAGGCTCCATCAGGGAGAATCTGTATGAACAATGGTCAGGCCAGGCACTCCTGCTCTCCACAGCCTGCATACAGCCCTCTGAAAAGGAATGGTTATAGAATCAGAGAGAAACCCTCGCGCGGGATGGAACCCAGTTGAAAAGTGAGCTGGGAATTGCCATTCATTGAGACTCCCAGGGACTCATGAGGCAAAAGATCCCCAGGTGACACATGGGTTTCTGATATCTGTCTTCCTTCACCCTCCCTGCCACCCTCCAAAGCCCTAGCATGGTTCAGGAGGTCATGGAGCCCTTGCTCATACCACTGTGCGTGAAGCACTATAGTCTCTAGCCTGCCAGCCGAGAGATGAGCAGTAGGACATACATGGTTGCCTCCTGCTGACCTTTTGGGTTTCACTGATGCTGCCATGGGCTCAAACGAACTCCAGCTTGAGGCCAACCCCCTGAAATGGAATGGTTCATGAGTTCATCAGCCTGCCATCCGTTCAGATTACAACTGGTGGGGAAATGAGCAGGGCCTAGCCATGCAGTTCACCCACTTTGCCACAGATAGCAAATAGCACACCAAGATCCAGGAGAGAGTCTTGCAGTGAGCCTGAATTCCCACTCTTTTGATTCGCATGGAACATGGAGAACCTGTGAAGAGCACTGTGAGCCCTCACTCCTACTGTGTGGCATTCGCCTGACTTTCAGTCCATCTTTAGGCCCAGGCTGAACCTGCCTTGCCTAGTTTCACGTAAGTGAACTGCTCACGGTGTGGTTAGCCATGCTGTCCAAATGTCTTCACTCTGCCAGCTATGCAGTAAGCAGTCTTCTGAGGACTTTTAGGCCAAGTGTGCTCTTGCCCTGGTCCTAGTGCCACCTTGTGGATATTTAAGGATAGTTGGCGTGGAAAAACACTGGCCTCAAGGACAAGTCACACAGAGGTCTGTCGAGTAGTAGTCAGCACGCAGCAAGCCTATACTCTTCGTGCAGCTGCTGCTCACGGTTACCATGAGAGCCACTGGGATAGAAAGTCAACGCACCCTGGTCCTTACCTGGCCCTGGTGAACACAGGGCCAGGGCCTAGAAAATAAATAAGAAGGCCCTTGGCCTAGACATCAAATGGTAGAAGGTTGGAGAGGCCAAGCAAGCCGAAGTGAGCCTGCATTCCATCTTAGCTGCCTCGCACAGAATGACTAGAACCCCTTAACAGCTGCGAGAGTCGTGACTCATACCTTTCTGCATGTCATAAACTTTGGGCAATACTTAGCTGGCCAGTGAGACAGCCCTCACGGATGTCTGGTCCGTGGATATGGTGAGGGTCTATTGCCCACAGCAGGGAGACTGTCATCAAGCCAGAGGAAAAACATCCTGCATGAGAAGGCCCGTCAGACACAGCCCCAGTTCACACAGGTGTGACTTTTATACATAAATCTTTCAGACTGGTTCTGCATACAGGGCACACCCACTCCCAGAAACAATACTGCTGAGGTCTGGAGAGTCATGGAATAATACGGACTCAGCCAGAACTGGCCACAGCCATGAGCCGGGGCCACGAAAGTAATTGGAGAGCCTTGCATTGAACCTCCCCTCCTCCCCGAATCAAAGATTTGAAGCATTGGGTTCTACCTAGAATAGCCGACATGTCCCACTCCTAAGGAACTGCAGGCAGGTGCAACTTGAGGAGCTCCTCATCACAGTGTGAGACCGCCAGGCCCCTGGATTTCGAGCACAGGACTGTTGAGATACATTTTGCCACTATGAAACCTGCACTCACACGGCTGGCATCCAGTGTAACATTCTGTTCCTCTTGGATGCATTGTGCGAACCACCTGGCATGGTTGTCCTTGCAGAGCGATGATAAGCTGCTGGCTAGCATGATGTGAGGTCACTGTCAGGCCAGGCTCCATCAGGGAGAATCTGTATGAACAATGGTCAGGCCAGGCACTCCTGCTCTCCACAGCCTGCATACAGCCCTCTGAAAAGGAATGGTTATAGAATCAGAGAGAAACCCTCGTGCGGGATGGAACCCAGTTGAAAAGTGAGCAGGGAATTGCCATTCATTGAGACTCCCAGGGACTCATTAGGCAAAAGGTCCCCAGGTGACACATGGGTTTCTGATATCTCAGTCTTCCTTCACCCTCCCTGCCTCCCTCCAAAGCCCTTGCATGGTTCAGGAGCTCATGGAGCCCTCGTTCATACCATTGGGCATGAAGCACAAGAGTCTCTAGCCAGCCAGATGAGAGATGAGCTGCAGGACATCCATGGTTGCCTCCTACTGAACTTTTTGGTTTCACTGATGCTGCCATGGGCTCAAAGGAATCCTAGCTTGAAGCCAACCACCTGAAATGGAATGGTTCATGAGTTCATCAGCCTGCCGTCCCTTCAGAATACAAGTTGTGGGGAAATGAGCAGGGCCTAGCCATGCAGTCCACCTACCTTGCCACAGAGAGCAAACAGCACACCAAGATCCAGGACAGAGTCTTGCAGTTAGCCTGAATTCCCTCTCTTTTGACTCGCATAGAACACGGAGAACCTGTGAAGAGCACTGTGAGCCCTCACTGCTGCAGTGCGGAATTCACCTGACCTTCAGTCCATCTTTAAGCCCTGCTGAACCTGCCCTGCCTAGTTTCACGTAAGTGGACTGCTCAACCTGTTGTTAGCAATGCCATCCCAAAGTAATCACTCTGCTAGCTATGGAGCAAGCAGTCTTCTGAGGATTTGTAGGCCAACTCTGCTCTTGCTCTGGTCCTAGGCGTCAACTTGTGCATGTTTTAAGGATCGTTGTCATGGAAAAACAGGGGCCTCAAAGACAAGTTGCACAGAGGTTTGTGGAGTAGTGGTCAGTACGTAGCAAGTCTATACCATCCATGCAGCTGCTGCTCACAGCTACCATGAGGACCACTGTGATACACAGTAAATGCACCCTGGTCCCTGCCTGCCCCTGGTGAACATAGGGCCAGGGCCTCGGAAGTAAATATGAAGGCCCTTGGCCTTGCAATCAAATGGCAGAGAGTTTGAGTGGCCAATCTAGGTCCAGGGAGCCTGCATTCCATCTTACTTCCCTCGCCTAGAATGACTAGAATGCTTTAACAGCTGCTAGAGACGTAAGTCATACATTTCTGCCTGTCCTAAATTTGGGGCACTTCTTTGCTGGCCAGTGAGAGAGCCCTCACGGCTTTCTGCTTCATGGATATGGTGAGGATCTATTGCCCACAGCAGGGAGACTGTCCTCAAGCCAGAGGAAAATCATCCTCCTTGTGAAGACCTATCAGACAAAGCCCAAGTTCACACAGGTGTGATTTTCATGCATAAAACTTTCAGACTGATTCTGCATTCAGGGCACACCCACTCCCAGAAACAATACTACCGAGGTCTGGAGAGTCATGGAACAATACGCACTGAGCCGCAACTTGCCACAGCCATGAGCTAGGGCCACGAAGTTAATTGGAGAGCCTTGCATTGAAGCTTCCCTCCTCCCCAAATCAATGATTTGAAGCATTGGGTTCTACCTAGAATGGCCGACATGTCCCACTCCTAATGAACTGCAGGCAGGAGCAACTTGAGGAGCTCCTCGTCACAGTGTGAGACTGCCAGGCCCCTGGATTTTGAGCACAGGACTGTTGAGACTCATCTTGCCACTATGAAACATGCACTCACACGGCTGGCATCCAGTGTAACATTCAGTTCCTCTTGGATGCATTGTGAGAACCATCTGGCCTCATTCTCCTTGCAGAGCCAAGTTGAGCTGCTGGCTAGCATGATGTGAGGTCACTGTCAGGCTAGGATCCATCAGGGGGAATCTGTATGAACAATGGGCAGGCCGGGCACTCCTGCTCTCCACAGCCTGCATACAGCCCTCTGAAAAGGAATGGTTATACAATCAGAGAGAAACCATTGCTCAGGACAGAACCCGGTTGAATAGTGAGCAGGGCATTGCCCTTCATTGAGACCCCCAGGGACTCAGTAGGCAAGAGGCCCTCACGTGACCCACGGGTTTCTGACATCTCAGTATTCCTTCACCCTCCCTGCCTCCCTCAAAAGCCCTAGCATTGTTCAAGAGCTCAAGGAGCCCTCGCTCATACCATTGTGCGTGAAGCACTACAGTCTCTAGACAGCCAGCAGAGAGATGAGCCGCAGGACATCCATGGTTGCCTCCTGCCGACATTTTGTGTGTCACTGATGCTGCCAGGGGCTCAAACGAACCCCAGCTTGAGGCCCACCACCTGCAAAGGGATGGTTCATGAGTCCATCAGTCTGGCATCCCTGCAGATTAAAACTGGTAGGGAAATGAGCAGGGCCTAGTCATGCAGTCCACCCACCTTGCCACAGATAGCAAATAGCACACCAAGATTCAGGAGAGAGTCTTGCAGTGAGACTGAATTCCCCCTCTTTTGACTCTCATAGAACACTGACAACCTGAGAAGAGCACTGTGAGCCCTCACTCCTACTGTGCGGCATTCGCCTGACCTTCAGTCCATCTTTAGGCTCAGGCTGAAAATGCCCTGCCTCGTTTCACATAAGTGGACCGCTGAAGCTGTGGTCAGCAATGCCGTTCAAATGGCCTCACTCTGCCAGCTAGGCAGGAAGCACTCTTCTGCATGCTTGTAAGCCTACTGTGCTCTTGCCCTGGTCCTGGGCGCCACCTTGTGGATGTTTTAAGGATCGTTGGCATGGAAAAACGCTGGCCTCAAGGACAAATCACACAGAGCTCTGTCGAGCAGTGGTCAGCACGAAGGAAGTCCATATCCTCCATGCAGCTGCTGCTCATGGCTACCATGAGAACCACTGGGATACACAGTCAATGCACCCTGGTCTCTCCCTGGCTCTGGTGAACACAGGGCCAGGGCCTAGAAAATAAATAAGAAGGCCCTTGGCGTAGACATCAAATGGTAGAAGGTTGGAGTGGCCAATCAAGCCAAAGTAAGCCTGCATTTCATCGTAGGTACCACACACAGAATGACTAGAACACCTTAATGGCTGCAAGAGTCGTGACTCATACATTTCCACATGTCATAAACTTTGGGCACTACTTAGCTGGCCAGTGAGACAGCCCTCACAGGTGTCCGCTCCGTGGATATGGTTAGAGTCTGTTGTCCACAGCAGGGAGACTGTCCTCAAGCCAGAGGAAAAGCATCCTGCTTGAGAAGGCCAGTCAGACACAGCCCCAGTTCACACAGGTATGACTTTCAGACATAAAACTTTCAGACTGATTCTGCATTGAGGGCACACCCACTCCCAGAAACAATACTGCAGAGATCTGGAGAGTAATGGAATAATACGGACTGAGCCAGAACTGGCCACAGCCATGAGCCAAGGCCACGAAGGTAATTTGAGAGCCTTGCATTGAACCTCCCCTCCTCCCGAATGAAAGATTTGAAGCATTGGGTTAGACCTAGAATGGCCTACATGACCCACTCATACGGAACTGCAGACCTGAGCAACTTGAGGAACTCCTCGTCACAGTGAGAGACTGCCAGAACCCCGGATTTTGAGCACTGGACAGTTGAGGTACATTTTGCCACTATGAAACCTGCACTCACTGGCTGGCATCCAGTGTAACATTCAGTTCCTCTTTGATGCATTGTGTGAACCACCTCCGTCGTTCTCCTTGCACAGCGACGTTGAGCTGCCAGCTACCATGATGTGAGGTCAATGTCAGGCTAGCCTCCATCAGGGAGAATATGTACGAACTATGGTCAGGCCGGGGATTCCTGCTCTCCACAGCCTGCATACAGCCTTTGAAAAGGAATGGTTATAGAATCAGAGAGAAGCCATCGCTCAGGACAGAATCCCGTTGAAAAGTGATCAGGGAATTGCCATTCATTGAGATCCCCAGGGACTCAGTAGGCAAAAGGCCCCCAGGTGACACATGGGTTTCTGATATCTCAGGCTTCCTTCACCCTCCCTGCCTCCCTCAAAAGCCCTAGCATGGTTCAGGAGCTCCTGGAGCCCTCGCTCATACCATTGTGCGTGAAGCACTCCAGTCTCTAGCCAGCTAGCTGAGAGATGAGTGGCAGGACATCCATGGTTGCCTCCTGACAACCTTTTTGCTTTCACTGATGCTCTCATGGGCTCAAACGAAGTCCAGCTTGAGGCTAACCACCTGAAATGGAATGGTTCATGAATTCATCGGCCTGCCGTCCTGTCAGATTACAACTGGTGGGGAAATGAGCAGGGCCTAGCCATACAGTCCACCCACCTATCCACATATAGCAAATAGCACACCAAGATCCTGGAGAGAGTCTTGCAGTGAGCCTGAATTCACCCTATTTTGACTTGCATAGAACACTGAGAATCTGTGAAGAGCTCTGTGAGCCCTCACTCCTACTGTGTGGCATTCGCCTGACATTCAGTCCATCTTTAAGCTCAGGCTGAACCTGCCCTGCCTAGTTTCACGTAAGTGGACTGCTCAAGGTGTGACTAGCAATTCCGTCCAAATGTCCTCACTCTGACAGCTATGCAGTAAGCAGTCTTCTGAGGATTTGTAGGCCAAGTGCGCTCTTCTGTGCATCTTGGAGCCACCTTGTGGATGTTTTAAGGATCGTTGACGTGGAAAAATGCTGGCTTCAGGGACAAGTCACACAGAGATCTGTGGAACAGTCGTCAGCATGCAGCCAGTCTATACCCTCCATGAAGCTGCTGCTCACGTCTACCATGAGGACAACTGGGATACACAGTCAACGCACCCTGGTTCCTACCTGGCCCTGGTGAACACAGGGCCAGGGCCTAGGAAGGAAATAAGATGGCCTTGGCCTAGACATCAAATGGTAGAAGGCTGGAGTCACCAATCAAGCTGCAGTGAGCCGGCATTCCATTTTAGCTGCCTCGCACAGAATGACTACAACCCCTTAACAGCTGAGAGAGTAGTGACTCATACCTTTATGCATTTCATAAACTTTGGGCACTACTTAGCTGGCCAGTGAGACAGCCCTCACGGCTGTCTACTCTGTGGACATGGGGAGGGTCTATTGCCCACAGCAGGAAGACTGTCCTCAAGCCAGAGGAAAAGCATCCTGCTTGAGAAGGCCAGTCAGACACAGTCCAATTTCACACAGGTGTGACTTTCATACATAAAACTTTCAGACTGGATTTACATTTATGGCACACCCATTCCCAGAAACAATACTGCAGAGGTCTGGAGAGTCATGAAATAATACAGACTGAGCCGGATCTGGCCAAATCCATGAGCCAGGGCCACGAAGGTAATTGGAGAGCCTTCCATTGAACCTCCCCTCCTCCCTGAATCAAAGATTTGAAGCATTGGAATCTACCTAGAATGGTCGAAAAGTGCCACTCCTAATGAACTGCAGGCCTGAGCAACTTGAGGAATTCCTCATTACAGGGTGAGACTGCCAGGCCCCTGGATTTCGAGCACAGGTTAGTTAAGGTACATTTTGCCACTATGAAACCTGCACTCACACAGCTGGCATCCAGTGAAACATTCAGTTCCTCTTGGACGCATTGTGCGAACCACCTGGTGTCGTTCTGCTTGCAGAGTGACGTTGAGCGGCCCGCTAGCATGATGTGAGGTCACTGTCAGTCTATGCTCCATCAGGGAGAATTTGTATGAACTATGGTCAGGCAGGGCACTCCTGCTCTCCACAGCCTGCATACAGCCCTCTGAAAAGGAATGGTTATAGAATCAAAGAGAAACCATCACTCCGAACAGAACCCGGTTGAAAAGTGAGCAGGGCATTGCCATTCATTGAGACCCCCAGGGACTCAGTAGGCAAAAGGCCCCCAGGTGACACATGGGTTTCTGATATCTCAGTCTTCCTTCACCCTTCCTGCCTCACTTAAAAGCCCTAGCATGGTTCAGGAGCTCATGGAGCTTTCATTCATACCATTGTGGGTGAAGCACTACAGTCCCTAGCCAGCCAGCCGAGAGATGAGTGGCAGGACATCCATGGTGGCTTTCTGCCAAACTTTTTGGTTTCACTGATGCTGCCATTGGCTCAAACGAAGTCCAGCTTGAGGCCAACAACCTGAAATGGAATGGTTCATGAGTTCATCAGCCTACCGTCCTTCAGATTACAACTGGTGGGGAAATGAGCAGGGCCTAGACATGCAGTCCACCCACCTGCCCACAAATAGCAAATAGCACACCAAGATCCAGGAGAGAGGCTTGCACTGAGCCTGAATTCACCCTCTTTTGACTCACATAGAACACTGAGAATCTGTGAAGAGCACTGTGAGCCCTCACTCCTACAGCCCAAGTTCACACAGGTGTGACTTTCATACATAAAACTTTCAGACTGCTGCTGCATTTAGCGCACACCAACTCCCAGATACAATACTGAAGAGGTCTGGAGAGTCATGGAATAATACGGACTGAGCAGAAACTGGCCACAGCCATGAGCCAGGGCCACAAAGGTAATTGGAGAGCCTTGCATTGAACCTCCCCTCCTCCCTGAATCAAAAATTTAAAGCATTGTGTTCTACCTAGAATGGCCGACATGTCCCCTTCCTAAGGAACTGCAGGCCTGAGCCACTTGAGGACTTGTTCGTTACAGTGTGAGACTGCCAGTCCCCTGGATTTCGAACACAGGACAGTTGAGGTACATTTTCCCACTACGAAACCTGCACTCACACGGCTGGCATCCAGTGTAACATTCAGTTCCTCTTGGACGCATTGGGCGAACCACATGGCGTCGTTCTCCTTGCAGAACGAAATTGAGCTGCCGGTTAGCATGATGAGAGGTCACCGTCAGGCTACGCTCCATCAGGGAGAATCTCCAAGAACTATGGTCAGGCAGGGCACTCCTGCTCTCCACAGTCTGCATACAGCCCTCTGAAAAGGAATGGTTATAGAATCAGAGAGAAAACATCACTCGGGATAGAACCCGGTTGAAAAGAGAGCAGGGCATTGCCATTCATTGAGACCTGGAGGGACTCAGTAGGCAAAAGGACCCCAGGTGACACATGGGTTTCTGATATCTCAGTCTTCCTTCACCCTCCCTGCCTCCCTCAAAAGCCCTAGCATGGTTCAGGAGATCATTTAGCCCTCGCTCATACCATTGTGCGTGAAGCACTACATTCTCTAGCCACTCAGCTGAGAGATGAGCAGGAGGACATCCCAGATTAACTCCTGCTGTTATTTTTGGTTTCACTGATGCTGCCATGGGCTCAAACGAACTCCAGCTTGAGGCCAAACACCTGAAATGGGATGGTTCATGAGTTCATCAGCCTGCCGTCCCTGCAGATTACAGCTGGTGGGGAAATGAGCAGGGCCTAGCCATGCAGTCCACCCACTTTGCCACAGATAGCAAATAGCACACCAAGATTCAGGAGAGAGTCTTGCAGTGAGCCTGAATTCCCCCTCTTTTGACTCTCATAGAACACTGACAACCTGAGAAGAGCACTGTGAGCTCTCACTCCTACTGTGCGGCATTTGCCTGACCTTCAGTCCATCTTTAGGCCCAGGCTGAACCTGCCTTGCCTAGTTTCATGTAAGTGGACTGCTCGCGGTGTGGTTAGCAATGCCGTCCAAATGTCCTCACTCTGCCAGCTATGCAGTAAGCAGTCTTCTGAGGACTTGTAGGCCAAGTGTGCTCTTGCCCTGGTCCTAGGCGCCACCTTGTGGATGTTTTAAGGATCGTTGGCATGTAAAAATGCTGGCCTCAAGGGCAAGTCACACAGATGTCTGTGGAGTAGTGGTCAGCACACAGCAAGTCGATATCCTCCATGCAGCTGCTGCTCACGGCTACCATGAGGACAACTGGGATACACAGTCAATGCACCCTGGTCCCTACCTGGCCCTGGGGAACACAGGGCCAGGGCCTAGGAAGTAAATAAGAAGGCCCTTGGCATAGACATCAAATGGTAGAAGGTTGGAGTGGCCAATCAAGCCACAGTGAGCCTGCATTCCATTTTAGCTGCCTCGCACAGAATGACTAGAACACCTTAACAGCTGCCAGAGTTATGATTCATACCTTTCCGCATGTCATAAACATTGGGCACTACTTAGCTGGCCAGTGAGACAGCCTTCACAGCTGTCTGCTCCGTGGATATGGTGAGGGTCTATTGCCCACAGCAGGGAGACTGTCCTCAAGCCAGAGAAAAAGCATCCTGCAAGAGAAGGCCAGTCAGACACAGCCCAAGTTCACACAGGTGTGACTTTCATACCTAAAACTTTCAGACTGGTTCTGCATTCATGGCACACTCAGTCACAGAAAGAGTACTGCAGAGGTCTGGAGAGTCATGCAATAATACGGACTGAGCCGGAACTGGCCACAGCCATGAGAGAGGGCCACGAAAGTAATTGGAGAGCCTTGCATTGAACCTCCCCTCCTCCCCGAATCAAAGATTTGAAACATTGGATTCTACCTAGAATGACCGACATGTCCCACTCCTAGGGAGCTGCAGGCCTGAGCAACTTGAGGAGCTCCTCGTCACAGTGTGAGACAACCAGGCCCCTACATTTCGAGCACAGGACAGTTGAGGTATATTTTGCCACTATGAAACCTGCACTCACGCGGCTGGCATCCAGTGTAACATTCAGTTCCTCTTGGACGCATTGTGATAACCACCTGTCATCGTTGTCCTTGCAGAGCCAAGTTGAGCTGCCGGCTAGCATGATGCGAGGTCTCTGTCAGGCTAGGCTCCATCAGGGAGAATCTGTATGAAGTATGTTCAGGCCACACACTCCTGCAGTCCGCAGCCTAAATACAGCCCTCTGAGAAGGAATGTTTATAGAATCAGAGAGAAACCATCGCTCGGGACAG